ACACTTGCCAGGTAAGCACTTATTCTACTGAGCTATCTCCCCAGCCCCTCATTTAATTCTTATAATCACCTTTTTAAAATCCTTTAATCAAATGGATTACAAACCTGTTATGGTGTGGACCAAAACCAGCCCCACGAAGCTGATCTTCAAAGGAGTGGAATTTACTCTGGCACACTCTTATGTAGGAGGCCTTGCCAAGGCCAAATCCCAGGATACCAGCAACTGTGAGGGAAGGTTAGGAAATCTCAATTAACTGTGTTCTAGAAGTTTCTCTGGTAAGACTAATGGTTTTTATATGAAAGGTATAGTACCATAACTCAATGAACAACAAGTCTGAAAACTTAAGCCCATAATGCAGAACCAGAGCGGGAAGTAGAGACTTTTCGGTCTCTGCTTACAGAGCAAGCAAAGGTGTGACCAGGAACCAGCAACGAGAGGGGCCCAAAGGACTGAGGTCACCAGAGAAGGAAAGGAAAGGCATGGGTTATGGCTACAGGCGACTCTTTGGTTTACTTTTATGGATTTAAGTTGTTGGGAGAGTCAGTCCATCTCACCACTTCAGAGCTAACAAGGAAGAGGGGTCCTTCCATGGAAGGGATCTTGAATCACTCCTTCAGCTGGAAGGACTGAAACTTCTGCCTGTAAACTGAAACACATTGCATCCACCCTCTCTGTACATAAAAGGTCTGTGCATGCCAAGGAGGAGAATGAAATCCCAAGTTTATGGTAAATTTATTACTACCATAATAGTCCCTTGATTTTTTTTTAAAAAATACGTTTTCAAGTCCATTATAGGTAATATTTTGAGGATCAGCTGGACCAAAAGAAGAAAATGAAAAACCCTGATGTGTCTATCACTCAGATGCTTTGCTGTTGATGCATGTGCTACAGCAGGCATTCCGTGTCTGTGAACTCCACATCCCACGGGCTCAACTAACTAGGGTACAGAAATACTGGAAAAACTGGGGGCTGTACTGAACAGGCACAGATTTTTTTCTTTCATTATTCTCTTATATCAATAATTTACAAAAAATAATAATTTACATAATATTAGGAATAAGTAATCTAGAGCTGAGTTAAGGTATAGAGAGGAAAGGCATAGCTTATAGGTCATTATGTTATTATTATTATTATTATTATTATTATTATTACTACTACTACTACTACTTTCTTTTGTACCAGAGGATTGAACTCAGGACCTTGCACTTGTTAGGCAGGTGCTTATGCTGCTGAGCTATCTCCCTGGCTATGGTATTTTTTTTTTAGGCCCTGGAATATGTGTGGATTTTGGTGTTTTCGAAGTCCTGGAACCAATCCTCCTGGGTTACCGAGGAGCAACTATACAGTGTATATCTATCTCTGCTCATCCATGCTCAAAAGAAGTTTTTGAAGAGAAGTCCCTGCTGCTAAGTTGTGCACGAGGGTGCTGAATGAACCTGGACAGTAAAGCAGGAGCAAGGGGAGACTGGCACCTCAGAGCCAATAGAGACATGATTAAGCTGCACATTTACTTCTAAGGTTGCTGTAAATATCTTCATTTATCAAAGGGAATCTGCTTTTTTTATTTTTATGACTTACGTGCAACTTTAGGTAAGGATCCAAATCTTGGATTAGCTGCTAAGTAACCTAAAAAATAGCATATAAATACATTATTATTTATTAAAATATATTACTTATTTAAATTCATAAAGAAAACTTCAAAATTTAAGATATGAAATTAGGGGCTGGGGAGATAGCTCAGTAGAATAAGTGCCTGCCTGGCAAGTGCAGGGTCCTGAGTTCAATCCCCAGTACTGCAAAAATCAATCAATCAATCAATCAATCAATCTTTCCTTAAGATACGAAATTTTCTTTTTTTGTCATCATTGTTGTAGCCAGGGTCTTGTTATGTAGTGCAGGCTGGCCTTGAACTTACTGTGTAGCCCAGCTTGGCCTCAAATTCATTGCAATCTTCCTGTTTCAGCCTCTTAAATACTGGGATTATAAGTGTGTGCCACCATGCCCAGCTAAAATATAAAATTTCTTAAATGTGCAAATTTTCTTAATCTAAAGAAATGATCTTAGAATTCTGAGTTATCATTTAACTCTTTTTTGTTTGTTTGTTTGCTCCAAATGCCTTCAGGGCAGGTTTGGCTGGCTTGAGTTGTGGGGATCGAACCACAGCAACCTGAGCCTGACTGCTTTGTTGAAGCAGCCACTTAAAGAACTGAGCTAAGGGCAGGCCCTCATATCGTTCCATTCTTATGAAATTGCTCAGGCAGGACATGAATTTGTGATTTTCTTGTTTTTTTCAGAGTGTTAGAATTACAGGCATATGATACCACATCTAGTTTATCACAATCTTTAAACAAAAACATTTTAATTTGTGGTAGACAGAATGATAGCCCCCTAAAGATGTCCACACCATAATCTTTAGACATGGTGAATATGTTACATTACATAAGGGGAACTAAGGCAGGGCATAGAATGAAGATTGCTAGTCAAATAGCTTTAAGATAGGGAGATGGGGCTGGAGAGATGGCTCAGTGGTCTAAAGCACCTACTTGGAACAAGCTTGGCAAAGCACAGGGACCGCGGTTCAATCCTCCAGCACCACATGCCAGCCAGCCGCGCCCCCTGGTGGGCTGAGCTGGCCACACACACACACACACACACACACAATAAATGTTAAAAAAAAAAAAAAAAAAAAAAAAGATAGGGAGATGGTTCTGAATGATCCAGGTGGAATCAACATAATCAAAACAATCCTTGAATGTAGAAGAAGGAATTGGAGAGAATAAAAGAGACGGCAATGTGAGAAAAAGGTGGCTCAGTGTAGCTGGTGTTGAAGACGTAGCAAGAGGCACCAGCCAGGTAATGCCAGAGACCTCTACAGCTAAAAAACCCCAGAACTCCTAAAACCTTCCAAAAGAAGGTCCTCCTCCTGAACGGCAAGATAACAAAGATGTGTTATTTTAGGCTATCATGCTTGTGGAAATTTGTTGTAACAGTCATAGAAAGTAATATATTCTTGGAAAAAGTCTTTCACACAGATGCAAAAAGTGTTATATTTCAATAGCTTAATAGTTACAAGCAGAACTCCCCTCACCAAATTTATTTTTCTTGTATCAAAAACAGTCAGACAAAAGCTTTTTGATAATTGACGAATTTATTTAGTTTTATTTTTTTGAGACAGCTTCTCACTATGCAGTTGAGGCCTTGAACTCACTATGGAGTCTAGGCTGGCCTGGACTTTTCAGCAATCCTCCTGCCTCAGCGTCCCTATTGCTGGGATTTTAAGTGTGTACCACCATACCTGGCTGATGAATATATTTCTACCAAAAGACAATCTTCAAGTTATAAATGTATTTAATACATGATCATTATAGACAATATTGGTATTAAAATGAAATTGTCATAATAGCCTTTGAGACCCAAAAAACCCTAGGATATCCTCCCTGGTTTTTACTGGGTATAGAGATTTCTTTTTTCTTTTTCAGTTTTCTTGAGTGCAGTAATCATTTTATTATTCATGAGATTTCTTATAAAGTCCTGGTGATCAGTGATAGCCAGGAGAATAGATTGAAACAGAGACAGGTGCCTTGCTGCTAGCTGGGCACTAAGCACTGTCTGTGTGGGTTCTCTGGTCAGGTAAAAACAAGGAAGAGAATGAGGAAGGAGCTGAGGATGAACAGAGAGGAAAATGGGCAAGCAGAGGTATGTGGGAGACACAGAAAGTAGCTGCTAATCTTTATAATCTTTTATCTGAATTAGATAGAACATCCTTCCTCAGGGGATGCAGCCTCTTGCCAGAACAATGGCTTGGTGAGCTGGGGTGGATTTTTCACATTCACCTGTTCCCTGGAGCTGGTTTGTGCAGTGAGCGATCTATCTAAACACAGTCAGTGGCCTGGGAGACACAAGACTTTTGGTATAGGAAAGGCACTGAATTATTTTCCTATGGCAACTATGACAAATTTCAACAAGCTCAATAGCTTAAAAGCAATACAAATTTATTATCATATAGTTCTCAAGGTTCGAAAGCCAAAATCAGACTTACTGAGTTACAACTAAGGTCATAACCATATATCTTCAATGTATGGGGGGCCGGGAGGTGGTCCTGACCTTCCTATATCTACAGTCCTCCCACTCCGTTTAGCCCTTGTGGCCCTTTCCTGGATCTTCAATGTCAGAACATTGAGTCAGGTCATCATCCTCTCATCTCTGGTTCTATCTTCTGGTCCCTTCTTCACTTTTAACTAGTATATTTGGGACGATGGAATCATCCAGATAATCTCCCCATTTTAAGGTCAGCTGATTAACATTTTAGAATTTCTTTTTTTTATTTTTAATTAATTATTTAGTGTGTGTGTGTGTGTGTGTGTGTGTGTGT